GCCCCCACTGGGGATCGGGCCCACCACCGGGGCGTGTGCCCTGAGCGGGAATCGAACCGGCCATCTCTTGATGCCAGGCTGGGCTGGCCTGGAATACTCTTAACACACCTGTGGTCTGAAAAGCTCCTGTGCACCCTTCACGGCCCAGGAGAAATGTCACCTCTCAGACCTTCCCAAACAGAAGGAGCCATTCCCGTTCTGCGCCGCCCCAGGCCGCCACACACAGCCCTGCCCCGGCCCCCGCCCGCATGGCACCGGCTCGGAGGACCTGGATTCTCTCGGAGCAGAGACTCTGGCGGGGGGAAAGGGGGGGCTCTCACAGTATATCGCACAGTGCCCGGCCCAGAATGAACGCGATTCGTTCCCCTAAGCGCCTGCAACCAGAGGCGACACGGTGAGGATGGAGAGGGGCCTCCGTGGCGTCCAGAGAGAAGAGCTGACTGCCCACTGTCTTCGTCCAGGGCCCACTGCGGAGAGAGCGAGGGCACAGCTGTCTCCAGGCCAGCCTGCCTGGGTCCTCTGCTGTGTTGAGGACCAGGTGGGGGGCTGGGGACAAGGGCTGAGATTTGAGTGGCAGGACCCTGACCAGCAGAACGTTCTTCCTAAGCTTGGCTCAGCTAGAAGCTGGGGTGCCCCGGACTCCTGGTGCCCGGGGGGATGGGCCGGGAATGGCTTTTCCAGCCCAGGGAGGCTGTGCCTGGGACCTATTGGCTCTCCCTCCTTCCACTGCAGGAGAGAGTCTGGGTTAATTTGCTGGAACGCTTCAGTTAAACGCCAATTAGGACGCCTTGTCCACCGCTCCCTCCCAATGTATTAATAATGTAATTAGCATTTATTGCCCGCACACATTAAAAATTAACTTAAAGGGACAGCCTGGAAAACGGAGGGAGTCACTGCTTGACCAATTTGCGTCTCACTGGGGTATCAACATTAAACACGGTCTGGGGTGCGGGTTGGGTTCCGGGGGGGGCCCAGCCGGCTGCCCACAGCTGCGGCTTCTTCACGGGATGTCGCCTTCCCCAGAGGGGCAGGAGGGCTCTCTGTTAGGCAGCCTCCTTGGCTCCCAACATCCCCACCCCCTTCCCTCAGAGGTCCATGGTGTGAATTTCAGTGAAAGGAAATGCTACGGGGGTGGCGGGGTGGCGGGGAGGGCTGGTCACAGAAGCCCTGCCGCTCCCGGATTCGTCCTGCATTCCAGCCGGGGGATGCGAAGCAGATGGTGCAGGAGCGAGGAGGGGGAGCTCCGAGCACTGCCGCAGCCCCTTGGGAAGACAGGAGCTGGGTCTCAGAGAGGGCCTGCAGGCCACGGGGCTGGCAGCACCCGCAAAACGGAGGAAAGGACCCGGCTCCCGGCTCCGACCTGGCCCAAGGGGGGAACACAACAGGCGTGGCAGCTTGTTTGCTTCGCCACCTGGCAGGGAGAAGCAGGACCGGGGGCCTCAGTGAGCCCCACACCTCTGAGGCAGCAGGGGCCTGGCTCAGGACGGAGGACTCCTGTGCCCAGGCCCTCGGGCTGCAGCCTCACCAGCTCCCTGACGGCTCCTGCCAGTGCTGCCCAGGCCTGCCCCGCGATGCTGAGGTCTCGTCTTGCTGTTTGTGTGGACGGGGTCAATGCACCTGTGAGCCTCGGGGAGGACTCAGGCTGGACCTCACCTTGTCCCCTGGGCTCTTGCAAGATGGCGCCTGGGGCTCCTGCAGGGGTCTGCAGCCCGGGAGGGTCTGGACATGGGCAGAGGCTGCCGTCCCTCCACTGGGGTGCTGGGCGCGCCTGCAGCTCTGCCCGGCCCCTCGCGCTGCCCAGAAGGAAGGGCACAGCCACTCCACGGGGCTCAGACTGACGCCAGGAGACCGACCTTGTTTTAAACACTTTATTATAAAAAAGTACATTTTTTTTTTTTGCTCAGTACATTTTTCAACCCATGACTTTTTTTCTTTCTTTTTTTTTAATACAAGTAAAAGAGGGTGATGCAAACACCCCCGGGTCAGAACCAGGAGAATGTGCTGGGCCATCCCCAGGACCCAAGACCAACCGGTGATGAAACCAAAGGGTACGCATCGAGCTCAGGGGGAGGGGCAGCAGCTTCTCCTGGACTTTATTTTCATTTATATAAAAAAGGACCTTTTTTTTTTTTTTTCTTCTTCCGGCCAGGAACCCATTCGTCACAGCCGCAGTTGGCAGAGACTCTGCCCCTGTGGGCGGGTCCTCTGGCCCTGGGCTTGGGCAGCGGCAGCAGCAAAGCCTCGGACCCCTCCCTGCCTGGGCCCTGGCGCGGGCCACTTCCTGGGCCCCCGTGGGTGTGCGGGGCTGGGAGGCCCACCCAGGAGAGGGTCACTGGTGGCACTCAGACTTTGGAGGGCTGCCTGGCCCCCAGGAGGCCTGGGCACGTTCCCTCCTCCCAGGTAGCACCGCAACCCCCCACCCCCAACCCTGGTCCCTCTGCGTGCAGGGCGGAGAGCAATTATTGCACCAGTGATGTGGGCACATGGAGGGGGCTGGCAGGGGGCACACGCAGGAGACAGCTCCTGGGGTCTTTCCTGTGGCCGGGGAGCCGGAGGTCCCGCTCCTCTTGGCTGCAGCGGGACGGCCCCTCCTCCCCCGGGTGCCCGCGGGTCCTCGTCCGTGGGGCTCAGGTGGTTCCGTCCCGGTTAGAGCAACATCAGCACCGTAAGGGAGCGGGTGGAGGTGGGCGGGGTGGGCACGGGCGGGCAACGAGAGGCAGAGTGGCGGCCGGGAGGTCTTGGCACAGCGGGTACCAAGTTTATGTCCTTCCCAGCGCGGGCAGAGGCCGGTGTCCTGGAGAAGCAACAAGTCCTCTTCCGTCTGCCGGCCACCGCCCCCCGTGCCAGCTGGGGCACAGAAAGCCCCGTGCCTCGGGCCTCGGGCCTGGGCAGCAGCGGTCCTGCTGGGAGCCCTGCAGCTGGGCTCCTGGCAACGGGAGCTCCCACGGGCCCGTGCACCCGGCTCGGCCGCCGTAATTTGTGCTTTGCTTGGGGGGAGGGTGTGCAGGTGTCTCAGGGGGGACTCAGTGCTTTGGCCTGGCCGGGGCCTCAGCCCGTCACAGAGTGAGAATTAGGGCTGGCAGTGCAGAGCAAGGTCCACACAGGAGGAGGAGCCGTTTCAGTCACGGTTTCAAGGGGACAGAGGCTGCCTCTACCAGGCAGGCCCCCGGGATTTCCTCCTGCCTCGGGGCAAGGGAACCAGGAATCGGGGTGGCATGGGGTGGGATGGGCAGTGATACAACGTAAGAACCGGCCCTCTGCCCTGGGTCACGCTAACACTGGGAGAAGCTGCCCAGCTCCTCCACCCCTCCGCCCTGGGGCTCAAGCCCCCAGAATGTTCTCCCACAACTCCACTCCATCCAGTGCCCTCAATGCCAAGGGGGCCGGGGCTGACATGGCTTCAGATTTCTGCTACGTGGCTACTGGGTGGCCTGGGCTGGGGCTAGGGCAGTGGGGGCCAGGCGAGGGTGGCCCACCTGTTGGGCTAGGGTGGCCAGGAGCTGGCTAGAGTCCAACAGCAGCACCAGGGAGGGAGAGACATGGTGGGGGGCTGGCAGCGCCCCCGGGAAGCTGGCCAAGGCCTGCGGGGCACAGAGTGGTCTGCCCCTCCCCCAACACCTGCCATCCCCCCGAGCTCCTGACGCCCTGGGCTGAGCTCGCCGGAACCCTAACGGGCAGCATGAGCCTGCCTCTCCCGCCCCAGGGTCTTCCCCGTCCAGAGTGCCCGGGAGATGGGGCAGCGGGTGGGCAGAGGGAGGAGCTGAGGCACTTTGAGGGGGGACTGAGAGGCCGGGGGAGCCCTCCTCCACTGTACGGATGGGAAGACCAAGTCTTGGGTGACTGACAGGAACTCGACAGCTCAAAGGGAAGATCCTCCGAGCGGGAGCACCCACACCTGTGGGGACAGAGGCCAGGGGCAGAGCAGGAGCTGGAGCTCGGAGGGGTCAGCACCCCGGGGCCCTCGCCTCGCACGGCCTCGGCAGGGGGGTGGGCTGTTGGCAGACCGTCTCCATGCGGCTGCCTCCCCGTGCTGCCCACACTGGCCCTCGCTGACCTCTCCGGGGTCCCAACCCTGGCTCCTCGAGAGACTCGAGCTCCTAGTGTTTACAGACGAGGAGCTGGAGAACGTCCGTGTGGTAAGAAGCAGTTTGGGGCCAGCCTGAGACCCAGGGTGGAGGCTCTGGGGCCTCGTGTCTGCGGCCCGGAAGCTCCTGGAGGTGGCCAGCCGGGAGCAGGGGGCGGAGAGGGCCAAGCCTCGGGCAGTGTCCAGCCTGGGCACGGCACTCGACCCCGCGGGGGTGCGGAGGCAGACACAGAGGTGTTGTGTGTGGGGACAGGTGTGGTGAGTAAGGGCCAGAGTCCACCTGGAGCCACTCTGCGGGGAGCAGCTGCAGGAAAAGCAGGTCACGAGGACATCGCTGTCGTAGGATGAGGAGGAAAGAATGTGAGGCCGACGGCACCTGGAGAACACACTGCTGGAGGCCCCGGCAGGTGCTCAGCGCTGCTCAGCCTGATCCACCCGGACGACCGGGTGCAAGCGCCGTCCAGACCGAGTTCAAATTCCTGGCTGCGTCAGCTCACACGGGGGTCCCTCTTCGTGGGAAGAGAGGAGCAGCATCTGGGGGCGAGGCTTTTCCTCGTGGAGGCCCTTCGGCCTCCTCCCCCAAGGGAGAGAACACAGATTCCAGTGTTGGGGTGGGGGAGGGCTGGCCCCCGATCCCTGGAAGGCTGCACGTCCAGGCGCACGAGACAGAAGGCTCCCTGCACGCAGCGCAGGAGAACGCGGCCGGGGTGGGGGGCACAGGGGCATCAAAGCCACAGTGAGGACACCACCACGGGGAGACGGGGCAGGAGGAATCCAAACAAGGCCGGGCGGGGTCTGCCCAGGCTCCGGGCTCTCAGGGAGCGTGGGGCTGGCTCTGGGCGGCTGGGTGAGTCTGTGAGCTCCCGGAGGGTTAGAGGGGGAGGGGCAGTGGGGGTGGGGGGGCGTGCGAGGGGGGCTGGGGAGAGGGGTGCAGACAGAGGCTCGGAGAGGGACTACACGTACCACTCCTTCTTGGAAATGAAAGACCCATCGTTCTGGGAGACCATGTTGTTGGCCATGTCCACCTGCTCAGGGTCGTACTGGTAACCCAGAGTCCGGTCCCCGTAGCTGTCCTGACAGGCTTCTGCCTCGTCCACCGTGAAGTAGGGCCGCTTGGCGTCCTCGTCGTACTTGGGGTGCGCGCCCCCCACCTTGCGGTCGCCCCCTCCTCCGCCGTCCTCCTCCTCTTCCTCCTCGTAGCTGCTGCCCCCCAGGGGGCCGGCCTTCTTCTCGTCGTCCGAGTCGTCTGGGTACTGCAGGTTCTGGGCCATGGGCGGGTGGTGCTGAGCGATGCCCGCCTTGCTGTAGCCGTTGCCGTACACGTGCTTCTTGGTGCTGTAGTCGCCCTTGAAGGTGTGCCGCCGCCGCCGCAGGGCCACCACCGTCCCGCCCACCACGACCAGCAGCAGCAGGACGCTGCCCGCCACGCCTCCGATGATGGCCGTGGGCACCGGCCCTGCGCGCTGCCCGTGTTGCGGAGGAGACGGCGTGTAGGGGAATTCTGGGTGAGGAAGAGAGCAGGGGACAGGGTCAGGGCAGCTCAGGGAGGCAGGGGAGGGAGAGACCCTCGCGAAGCCCCCGCGCCGACCTCATGCTCGGAGGGGTGCTCGCACAGACAACCAGCCCACCCCTGCCGGGCTCAGGAGGCCCTCCGGTCCCTGCAGAAACTGAGGCTGTGGCTCCGGGCTGCGGTCTGCCCTGCAGGACAAGGCGGGGGCTGGCGCTCAGCATGGATGTGCGGAAAAGAAGCACGGAGCATGTACTAAAGGTGATGCGTGCACGCCACGTGCACGTGTGGGGCACATGGTGCTGTGACGCGTGTGCGCATGTGCGCACCCCGCGGGCCATGCAGACGGGGCAGGAAAGGTGGGAGGAGGAGAAAGCTGGGTGGGCTTCGCCAGCAGGGCCAGGCCAGAGGCCGCGGGGGCCAAGGCCGGCTAAGGAGGCGGTTCCCAGCACCACCACAGGGTGGCACCGGAGACCACGGCTGGCCTGGTCAGGAGGCCTGATGGGCAGGGCCTCTCCAAGGGGGCTGGGTGCCCAGCTCTGATCCCTCCTCTCTTCCGGCCGAGGTGAAGGGGGGTTTGTGCCTGTGTCCCGGCCTTTGGGAAGGAGTTTCTGCCAGCCCACTCCCTGACTCGGCTCCCCGCACTCCGTGGAGCCCTGCTCCCCCTGAGACACCCCCTCCCAGGGGGGCGCCCCTGTGCGCACGGTGTTGGCTGGGAGCTCTCTGCAGGGAGGCGCAGGGCAGAGGCTGCAGAGCAGAAGAGAGAACCCTTCCAGTTCAGGCGGGAAGGGCTGAGGGAGGGGAGGGCTCTGCCCAGTCACAGGGCTGGGCTGGGCCCCCCAGGCACCCCTGTCTTGGTCCCTCCACATGCAGGCGTGGGCAGAGAGCTTCCCACTGTCAGCACTGACCAGTGCAGGTCCCACGTGGCTGCCCGGTCATCACTGACTGAGTGTCCGTCCTCGCTGCCACCTCCTGGTTCACCAGGTCCCATGTGTTTGCCGCCTTTGAAAGGGCCGCACACCTGCTCCCCACCAGGTGAGAGCTGCCCGAGGGAACCCGAGGCAGCCGGCCCCTTCGGGAATGCCCACCTGCTCAGTCCTTACCCTACACGGCAGCGCCCCGTCCTCTCTTCACCTGCTCGTCCACCACCCATCCATGCATCCACCTGTCCACCTGCCTATCCGTCCACCCGCCCACCCAGTCAGCACACAGGGACCGAGCATCTACTTCGCTAGTGGTCGCGGGGTTCGAGAAGCACAGAGCCGAGCTGGGGACCCGATGGCACCCTTAGAGACAGAGGAGTCTGAGACACAAAGGTGCCGGCAGAAGGCGTCTCAGGACCGCAGGAGGGCCTGCGGCCTGGGCTCAGGGACGGCTTTCCCACCTGCTGGCACCGGGATTCCTCGGTCCCGGGCTTTCTTCGAGTGTGGGCTGCATTGCTGGGCCTCTGCTCTGCTCCCGCCGCCCAGCTGAATCTCCGTCTCTGGGACCCCCTGCCCTGACCCTCTGCTTTCTTTCCTCGTGACAGACCTGGCCAGGGTCACGAGTCACCTGCTGGCTCTCCGAACGCCAGGTACCTCTGGCTCGCACCCACTCTGGGACTTTATCTCCAGCGGACTCTCAGACAACATCTCCCGCACTGTGCTCCCTGGATCCTCGAGCGTTGGCTCCGAGGGTCAGCGGTCACACTGGGGTTGAACACGTCAGGAAACGTTGTGGGGAAAGCCTCAGAGCCCTCAGAGTTCACTCTGTGAGCTCGGAGAACCGGCGGCATTTCCCAGCCTCCTGGGACACGCACCCCACCCTTCCTGACAGCGGGCTGTTCGCAGGACCAGCATCGGCACGCGCTTTGGAAACTGCTCTGGCGTGCCTGCCCTCCTGTGGCCGCCTCTCCACCAGCTCGCGCATCCGTCCCAGCCGGGTTCACCAGACCCTCTCCATCCAGAACCACAACTGCCCCGGTCTGTCCACTCCTCCAGCTCGGAACCTCACTTATCTTGGACTCTGTCCCTCGTCTCCAGGGTCGAAATCTGCGATCAAATCTCGCTGAGCCTTCCTATGCGACATCTCATCCCTTGACGCCGGGTGTGGCGTGGCAGCAGGCCCCTGAATCTCCCATCTTTGGTCTCCGGGTGTGCTCAGCCCTTCCACCCAATCACCAGGCTTACTTCTCACCGTCCGGACACAACCGCTGCCTCTCTCAAGTCATGACCTCCTTACTGCCGGTTACACCCGCTGGTCTGGTCTTCAAAGCCTCCATCGTGTAACTTGACCTTGGGCTTGGCTAACGCTCTGTCCTTGCTGTCCAAGGGGATCCCCCCTGCACCTGCCAGGGCACCTTCCCCACGCTGCCATCTCCGGCTCCCACTGATCTCTGCCCTCTAGCATGTCTGGGTACCGATGGTCTACGCATCCCATTCTGGTATAAACAATAGCTAACTCTACCCCATCAGTCACGTACTGACACACGACTGTAAAGCCTGTGACAGAACACTCTGGGATGAAAGCGAATCCCCGTGACTGGCTCCAGTCCTCCGGCCAGTGTCCAGGTGGCCCAAGCTCCTGTCTTCTGCAGGAGGAGGAGAGGGGAGCAGGGCGTGGCAGCTTCCCCACAGCTGAGGTGAACTCAGTCGCTGTGTTCCAGTTGTGCACAAAGTTCGTTCCGCTACGTCCACGTGCTGTCTGCATGGCAGGCGCCCAGAGAAAATGAGGCTCCCCTGCATTTTCCTAGAGAGACTGAGCTTCTTGGACCCCACCAACAGGACGGGAGAGTTTACGGTATGACCTGCTTCACGACAGTGGCTGGCGTCCCAAACTAGTCTGCGCATTTGAATCCAAGGCGAATCTAGAACTTCACTACTTGTTACCATCACTACCCGCCGCCCCCCCCCCCCCCCGCTCCAAGCAACCCCCCTCTCTCATAGAGATGATTTTGAGAGCTGCCTGTCTCCCCGATTCCACTCTTTCCCGCTAGAGACCGTTTTTATAGCCACAGGGGCTCGACCGCTTCACACAGTCTGTGCCTCTGCCCCCACCTCTGAGTGCATGGCTGCTGTTCTCCACCCCAGGTACCCTCAGGGCCTCTGCAGCCCAGGGCGCATGGTCGCTCCCTCACCTCCTTCAGGGCGTGGCACAAATGTCCCCTTCTCACCGAGGCCTTCCTGACGACCCACTTTATTTTTATTTAATTAATTTATTTTTGTTACAAATATTTCCCCCTTTGCCCTCATTGACACCCTCCTCCCGTTCCCGGCCACTCCTCCAGCATTGTTGTCTATGTCCATTGGTGATGCTTATATGTATAAGTTCTTTGGTTTATCTCTCCCCTCCTCCCTGCCCCTCCTCTGAGGTTTGTCAGTCTGAACCCTACTTCTATGTCTCTGGGTGTATTTTGTTCATCAGCTTATTTTGTTCACTATATTCCATAAATAAGTGAGATCATGTGGTACTTGTCTTTCTCTGGCTAGCTTATTTCGCTTAGCATAATACTCTCCAGGTCCCTCCATGTATAGATGAGTTGGATAAAAAAGCTGTGGTACATCTACACAATGGAATACTATGCAGCTGTAAAAAAGAAGGATCTTTTACCCTTTGAGACAATATGGAGGGACCTGACTACCCTCTTTGAAGCTACAGGTCACGCCCCCCACCCCTAACACCTGGGACCCCTTTATCTTGTTCTTCTCTCCATATCACCTTCAAAACGACAATACTTTTCTGAACGTATTTTATCTACTGCTGTTGTCTGTCCTCTGCGGTAAAACACCAGCTCCATGGGGACTCTGTGTGGCTCAGAAATGTGTCCCCCAAATTGCGGCTGGACTTCAAGAATTATTTGAATGAATTGCATCGAGGCCAGGTTCTGTCTTCTGGGCAGAACAAACATTAGGGAGACACTCAAATACATGCATGCTCTGGGGACCTCACTCCATTGGAGCCGGGGACAGGAGCTGAGCGGTGGCTTGGGGACAGACACTGGGCCTCCCCTTCTAGGCCCTTCTGTGTGGCTTTTTTGCCCTAGTCCTAACGAGGTCTGCTCTACCCTAGGCAGCTTTTCGGAGCAAAGGGAACCCTGGCTGTTTTGGCTCCTTTAGGACCAGGCCCGGGTAGAGGAAGAGGGGCTGGGATGGCCTCCCAGCAGGGCAGGCTTTGGAGTGAAGGTGCGGCGGAGGGTCGCCGTCGGGACTGATGGAGTGGTCGGCAGGGCTGCCCGGTGCGGATGGAGGGCCCCTCTCGCTGTCCCTCGGCTGTCCCTGCCGCCAGCAGCCCGTCTGTGTGCCAGGAGCACACCTCGAGGCAGCACAGGGCTGAGCGCGGTCGCTGGTGCAGGGTCCAGCCTGTGCCCTCAGCTCCTCCTACCCAGGGGGCAGCTCGGCCCCCCGTCCTGACGGGCTGTAGCCTCCTCTACAGGGTGGTGAGGACCCTGCATTTCTTTGGGGTCCTGGTTTCCTGACTGAGGTGGGCGGGCTGTTGTGGGGGCTCTGAATAGGTTTGAGGTCAAGGGAAGGGTCAGGTTTACTATCGGGAAGCAGGATGGGGAGGAGGCTGGGGGGTCGCAAAGAAAGTTTGGTCTTGCTTCTAAAGCCGGTGCAGGTGGGCAGCGTGGCCAGGGCTGAGGCCGAGGCCAGGAAGCCGTGAGAACTACACCTCCCAGCATGCAGTGCTGCGGGCAGGGGTGAGGAGCCCGTGGGCCGCTGCGGCCCATCTGTCAGACCCTCAGACGGGGCCTCGGAGCTCAGGGGAAGCCAGGCCTGCCGGGTGCGGGTGCAGCTGTGTGCTCACACCCTCCCCACACGGCTGCCTGCCAGCCTGCAGGAGGGCCCGCCTGCCCACGGCACAGCCCCCGGCCCGTCTGCACACTCAGCACGCTCTCGCCCAGGGGACACGCCCACACGCATGACCAGGCTTGCACGCTCGCTTCGCAGCCCCTCCCTCCGGACCCTGCCGCTCCACAGCCCTCGCCCGAGGCGCCCCTGGCCTGACCGGCACACCCTGGACTTTCACCGGAAGTGGAGATGGGCACAGGCGGCGCCCTGCACCCGGGGGCCTCCAGCCCTGCTCTGCAAGTGGCCCGGACACTCTCCTCCCAACACGCCCAGGCCCAGGGACAGACGCTAACTGGGCCTCGTGTGGCCTCGTGTGGCCTCGTCAGGGGGTCCAGGCCGTACCCGAGCCCCCAGCACTGCCCCACCCGGAGAAGGGAGGAGAGCTCAGTAGTTTATCTCGTGACTGTCTGGCCAACCCCATGGGACGCGCCCCCAGCAGGAGGGCTCAAGCCCTGTGGATGGCGCAGGGTGTGTCCCCTCTGCTCCTGACCCCTGGAACCCCCACTGCCCAGCCCCTCGCGGTCCCCGGCGCCATCCAGAGCCTCCCAAATGCTCCGTCTAAACCAACCTGCCTGCCACAGGGCCCCTCCCAGAGGCTCCCCTCGCCCACAGAGAGAGGGCTCCCCCTTCCCTCCCCTTTCCCCACACGCTCCCTGCCCGACCCCGCTCCCCACCGCTGCCCACTCACGCATCCTGACAGGAACCAATCAAACACCACTTCCGCCAGGATCCCCCGAGAAGCCGGTGCCCCGTGCACCCAGGCACAGTCCCTGCTGCCCACCTCCTCCCTGCCTGCCCCTCGCACGGCCAGGGCAAAGCTGTGGCCGAACAAATGGACAGGATACAATCCCAACGTCCACTCCGCCTCTCCTTCCCTCCAGACCGGAGGCTGGGGGCGCGGGGCGTGGTGAGCCCCTCCGAGGCCCCGGAGTGACAGGCACTAGTCGGCGGGGCGGGGGGGACCGGCGGCTGCTGAGAAACTGCCCTGAGGTCAGAGCAGCTCCGCAGAGGCCTGGGCTGGGCCGAGAGGCCTTCTCAGGACGGCCGCTGAGCGGCTCCTGGGCCCGGCAGGGGCGCAGTGGGTTCGGACGGCTCCACCTCACTGGGCTGCCGACAACGGGGTCCCCCAAGGAGGGCCCTTCTCACCACCCACACGTGTCTTTAGTTACCACCCTTGTCCACTCTGTACCTCCAGGGACGCAGGGGCCATGCTGTGTGCCCTGAGCAGCCCGGCCCACCTGCCCACAGGCCGCCTGGGAACAGAGGGCCACCTCCCCGCAGTCTCTTCCTGAGTCCTCCCCCCTGCTCCTAGACCTGGTGACCCTGAGGAGCAGCCTGCACCCACAGCCGTTCTGCGTCTCCCTGGGCCGTGGGGAAGGGGTGGCCCGACCTCACAGTCCTGTCTCTGGGCTCAGCAGCACCAGGAGCCCCGTAAGCCCAGCAGGGCCTCGGACCTCCGGCCGGTCCACTCATGCCGGGGGTTAGGGTCAACAGGAGGAAGTTGCTCCTGGGTTTCTTGGCCTCCTCCCCTCATTTTTGAATCAGGGGCTCCCCGGAGAGCCCGAGGGCATTGCTGGTGTGGGCGGCCCACCCCTGGGGTGAGGTACCACCAGGAAGGGGTACCCGCCATGTGCCAGGCAGTGGAATACGGGTTCGGAGTGATCCCAAGAAGCCTGCTTATCTCCAGGTTAAAGACCAGGAGGCTGAGGTTCAGAGGCAAAGGACTAGTTCTCACCACACGGGCAGGAAGGGCCAGTGTGTGGACACATCAGGCCCCTCTGCGTGGCCAGGCTCCCTGGAGACTCCTCGTCCTCGTCTGCCCCCGGCCCCGGCCAGGCCTCGGCACACCAGGTGCTTACTGACCTCCGCTGGACTTTCTCCAAAAAGGAGAGTGTCCGGCTCTGGCCCCTTCTTTGCCAGCCTTTGGGAACCCTGGACCCTAGCCTGGGGGGGGGCTGCCTCAGTTTTCCCAGGTTCCACCTCTAACGTCCCCTCCCTGACACAGCTGAAGGCCGAGGGCAGGGACAGAGGAAAATAGTAAGTAACGAGGCCCCCGACCCCCAGAGAGGTGACAGGCGGCTGAGGCTGGCCGAGCGCAGCCTGGACACTTCGACCTCTCTCTCTGCAGCCTCGAGGGCACCACACGGAGCCTCCCTCCGCTCTCAGGCTCAGAAGTGGGGATCCTCGGGGTTCGCCGCAGCCGTGCACCTGACGCCCGGGCCTCTGCCTGCTGCCCCGAGCCTGGCCCAGCCTCCCGAGGCAACTTCCTACACACACAGCAGCCACTTCTGTTCTGGAAGGTTCCTTCTGACACCTTCTCATCCCGCACCGGCTGAGGTACAAGGCAGGGCCGTCGCGATGGCCATCTACCCCCTCCTGGCTTCCCGACCTCCCTCAACAGTGTAATGACAGGTCACGGTCACGGGGCAGGGGTGTTTCCTGGCCGGCCGGTCTGAGCTAAGTGCTGGCCCACATGGTGTACCCCTGCCGGGCTCCCCGTGTGATCTCGTTTTACAGCGAGGGCTTGTCCACAGCCCCTGCCTCACACGGAAGCTCCCTCCGGCCCCTGCGCAGTCTCCTTTGGAACATCCCAGCCCGGGCCCCCTCAGCCCTGCGAGATCGGGTGGCTGGACCTCCTCCTCGCTCGGACGGAGAAAAACGCAGGGGAAACAGCAATTCCGCGGCGGGGCTCACAGACCTTGCTTTCCCTCCGCATCCCCCGAGGGGGCCCGACCTCCAGCACCTGAGAACCCGGGCACCGCAGAAGCCGAGCTCGGAGATGAGCCCCCCGAAAACCACACCAGCTCCAGCTGGCAGGCCCAGCGGCCGGCAGGCTCCACACCCCAGTACACACAGCTTCGACTTCCTCCACCGACCGACCGGGGCGCCCTGTCTCACACCCGCCTTAAACCGAGCAGAGAGAAAGGCAGAGCCAGACCAGTGGCCAGAGTTCAAGGGCACATGAGAGACATGGGAAAAGGAGACACAAGCCTCTTACAACAAAACCACCTGCAGGAGGGAATCGGGGCCATGGAGGAAGCAGGGGTGGGGGCTGGGGACGGGCGCGGCCTCCTACCTGTGATATTGACCTCCACCTGGCCCGAGCGCGTGCCGATGGGGTTGGTGGCCTCGCAGATGTAGGTCCCGGTCAGGCTGTAGTCGATCGGTCCCCTGAAGAAGAGGGTCCTGTTCTGAGCCTCCACACCCTTGGGGAGAGAGCCGTTCAGCCTGCAGGGTGGGGAGACAAGGCAGGGGTCACTCTCCTGTGCGGGCTCCAAGCCTGCCAGGCGTCAGGATAACAACCACAGTCATTTCTTGCATTTGCTGGTTCGAATTATTAGCCATTCACACTTGACCCCCACCTCGGGGGCGGGGAGCCTGGGGGGCAAGGCCAAGGGACTGCAGGAGGGGAGCTTTAGCCAATCTCGTTCTAGTACGCATGGTTCCTCGTTGTTGATCCTGGTTAACCGTACAGATGTTTGGGTTCGAACCCCAGATCCACTGACGCTGAACACTGGGGCCATGGCCCGGGGGCCGGGGGGTGGTCTGCACTTTCGCAAGCCCCTCAGGTGACCCCTGCTTAGGAACTGTCCGTCTCACTTCTATGTTCTTGACGGGCGTGTCGCCGGCCTGTTCCGTGCCGGGAGCATCCCAGAAGTTTCCAGAACACAGGGAACTTCCTTCCTGCCTCCTCACCCCCAGTGCCCCAGAGCAGTGGTCTCGCGGGGCTGGCTTCCTTGGAAAGAGTGTAGGCGTAGTGGACAACTGCCCGCTGACCAGCTGCCGGGCTGCACCCCGCCTGTCTCTGTCCCGTCTCTGGGGAGACCTTGGCTCAGGCCATCAGCTGGAGGGGAGACAGAACCCTCCGGGGGCCCGGCCTAGAGACTGAGAGGCCAAGGACCAGGCCATGGGACGCGGAGGTGCCTCTAGGAACACAGGCGGACTGCTGCCTGCTCCCCGAGAACCTGGGGGTGTTGGAGAGAAGGAATGCGCACAAAGAAAGACCTGGAAAGCTTCAGAAAGCCAGCTTCCCTGGGGACACCTTGATAAAAATAAATACTGGGGGCTGGGGTGGTGGTGACTCAGACTGAATCACCAGTAGAAAAGGACAAAATTGTTAGGGAGCACAGGGGAGGCAGATCACAGGGTAAGCCCCCTCTGGCAGAATGGCGTCCCGCTGCCCTGTCAAACACAGGGGTGTCTGGGGTGTGCGTCCCTCACCTCCCCCCTTCTCACTGAGAAACCTGAGACTGGCCCGGCCAGTGTGGCTCAGTGGCTGAGGTCGACCCTGCACCAAGAGGTCGCCGGTTTGATTCCCGGTCAGGGCACAGGCCCAGGTTGTGGCCCGATCCCCAGTGGGGGGCGTGCAGGAGGCGGCCAGTCCATGTTCTCTCTCATCGACGTCTCCCTCTCTCTCTAAAATCAATAAAGGAAAAAACAAAAAGGAACCTGAGTGTAGACCCCCGTTTCCTCCTAGCCCAGGCTCCGGGAGGCTGGGCGGGGGCCCCTCTGTGACTCGCAAGGGGCCCCGCAAGGTGCCACCCGCACTCACGTGGTCCAGCGGTACTCCGTGGCCGGCGGGTTCGCGTCTGCCTTGCAGGTGAGCGCCACGTCCATCCGCTGCAGGTACCAGTTCCCGTCAAACCCCTCGATGGTCACCTCGGGCTCGTCTGTGGGGCAGGGGTGGGAAAGAAGAGGTCAGAGGGCAGGGCGGCAGGGGACGTGGACAGCGGAGGGTGGAGGAGCAGTTCACGGAGCAGCCAGAGGCGCAGGGACGGCCAAGGCCACAGGAGAAGCAAGGGGGCAGCCCGGCGGGAGGGGCTCCGTGGTCGAGCAGGACCCTGCACCAAGAGGTCACTAGTTCCATCCCGGTCAGGGCACACGCCCAGTGGGGGCCGATCCCCAGTGGGGGGCGTGCAGGAGGCGGCCAGTCCATGTTCTCTCATGGATGTTTCTCTCTCTCCCTCTCTCTAAAATCAATAAAAGGAAAGAAAAGCAGCAAGGAGCACAAGGAGAAGGGGAGAGAAACAGTGAGCAAAGGGGGGCAATGGGGAAGAGAGGAGGGAGGACAGAGTACCCCCAGAGAGGGGAGAAGGAAGGATGGAGGGGTGACAAAGGGGGCGGGGGAAGGACAGGAGCTGAGCACAGAGCAGGGCGGACTGCGGAGGAGGGGCTGTGGGGAGGGAGGGGCTGTGGGGAGGGAGGGGCCGTGTGGGGGAGGGGAGGGGCGGGACAGGCGCCCACCCCGGAGGCCACCGCCCCACTCACACAGCACGTTGAGGGTGACGCTGTCCCGGAAGCGGTCCAGGTGGTAGTTGACCACGCAGGCCAGGGACTGCCGGTGCGCGTCCCGGCTGGGCACCAGGCGGTAGCGGCTGATGACCGTCACGGTGCCGTTGGGGTTGCGGATCTCCTGGTACTCCGCCTCGCCCTTCAGCCGCGTGTCCCAGGACACCACGCTGGCGGGCTTCCCGTTGGCCGAGGTGCAGGTGGCCACCAGGACCTTGTCCTCGTGCCCCTTCTTGGCTTGAAGCACCGCCTGTGTGCCCTCTATCCAGTTGGTGGGTTTGGCTGCGGGGAACCAGAGAGCCGGGGTCAGGCTGTGAGGCCCCAGGGCCGCCTTGGCCTTTGCTGCGGCTGCGCTTCCCCGAGCTCCTCCCCGCCTCGGCCCTGTGTGACCTCTCCTATGATCTGCACCCCTTTTGTCAAGGGCAGGCCTCTCGGAGTCTTGTCACGACCAGGGCCCTCAGTCGGCCCTTTTCCTTACGTGGTGCCCAGCGCCCCTGCGTGCCTCCCGGCCACCCACTGATGAGCCGTGTGGGGCTGCGCCCTGAACGCGCATCCTCAGCTCTGTCCAAGCTGAGGCCCTGCTCCCAATCCCTGGTGAACGCGGGGCAGCCTGTCGGGGGCACCGGAAGCGCCCCACCTGGAGCTTTGGGGCTGGCCAAGCGAAGGAGGGCGGGCGGGCCGCTTACCCATCACGGTGAGGTTGAGCTGGCTCTCTCGGTTGCCCGCTGGGAAGGTGGCGAACTCGCAGATGTAGGCGCCCTCGTCCTCCAGCTCCAGGCGGGACAGGCGGATGGTGCCGTCGGTGAAGGAGGGCCGCAGGAACGCCACGCGCCCGCTGTAGGGCGGCAGCACCGAGACGCCCATGGCTGGGTTGTAGATGGCCATGTTCTGCTTGGAGCCGTTGGAGGACTTCTGCCAGGTGACCTGCGTGATCTTCACGCCGGGCAGCGGGTTGGCGAAGCTGCAGTGCAGGACCACGTCGGCGCCGATGAAGCCCAGCATGGAGTCGTTCACCTGTACCGCCTGCGGGCGCGCGCCTGGGGAGGCCGCGGAGGGGTCAGCACAGGCCAGACCGCGCTCCGGTCCGTCCCAGCCGCGCCTCCCCGCCGCTCCCCCGACGCGGAGTGACGCGCGTTATCAGAACCCTGCGCAGCGGGGAGACACACCGCACACCGCTCGGGGATTCCCCGGGCGCCCGCCGCACGGACCCTTTTACCTCTCCCTCCGCGTGCGTCCGCCGGGCCCGCAATTACTTTTCTCTACAACGTCAGGGCCCTGCGTCCGCACCGCTCCCCACGCGCCCTCCGCCTGGCGGTCCGTGGCAGCCAACACGTGTCCGCACCCTCCTTCTCGTGTTTAACCAGGCGGGTGGGATCGGCCGCGTTTTGACTGCAGCCCCAGCCAGGAGCTGCCCAGCCCCGTCACTTCCTGGACCTCGGGTCCCTCTTCTGACAAAGGGGGCGAGTCATCCAGGGGTCTCCACCTCCCAGGGTTGCGAGGAGAACCACATGGGGTGCCGGCTGAGACAGCAGGCAGGAGGCACCGGGAGCCCCTCTCCAAGGCTTCTCCTCACCCGAGTCTGCGGGTGCACGGCTGGCCCCGCGCACCCAGCCAGGCAGGAAGAAGTCGGCACCCCACTCAGGACAGGCCATGTCCCTGACTCCCATGTGTCCAACCACCTGGCCACCGATCAGCACTTGAATCACAGTCACGCGCAGTTCAGCCCCAGCCCCCCAGGAGCAGAGCCTGAGAGGCGACACTTCTTCCTGACTCTCACTCATGCTGTTCCCGGAAGGCCGGTGCGTCCCTTCCTCCACCTGGGGGTGATCTGCTGGGGGCCACCTGCTTCGGGAAGCTTCCCGGATCCCGGCCAGCTGTGTGAACCCAGACGCATCCGTGACAGCCCTTCTCTGCCTTGAAATCCGGTGTTCACACCTCCTCCACCAGACGGAGCGCCCAGGACAGGGTCCCTGTCTCTCACCACTCTGTCCTCAGGGCCCCGCCCAGCCTCTGGCACCCAGCAGGGGCCCTGGCCCCATGCGCTGGGGTTGCAGGTCTGGTCCCCACCTGGCACACGAGAGGATCATAAATAAGTGAAACAACAGATCGATGTTTCTCTCCTCCTCTCCTCTCTCTCTCTCTCTCTCTCTCAAATAAAAAAAGTGTACAATTTGCAAGAAGGAGGGAGTGCTCAGCGGGATTAAATCAGTATGTTCCCCATGTCTCCCGGTCCTTCTATGGCTTTTGTCCCAGCTCCCTTAACCCTGGCTCAGCTCAGCCCCCAGAGGTTGGGGCTGCGGCCTCCTCTAGGGGTCTCCAGCTCTCTCTGCCTGAGCGCCCTCTGGGGCCCTGTCCCTGGCCCTGCATTTGTACCCACATGTCCTTGCAGCCTGGCTTCCCTCAGTGAATTTGCTGGGTGCCATCAATAATGTTAATGCCAGGCCCTGTGCTGACCCAGAGGCAATGGGTCCCCGAGGGAGCCTGGGCTCTCGCTGGCCTCTGCCTGGTGGGGCCCCAGGAGCAGGTGCCTTCCTCTGAGGGCCCCAAAGCCCGTGCCAGTGAAGCAGGCTGCCCCCTACTCCTCCCCGAAGGGGGTACAGGCCAGCTCTCTCTAGCGCACTGCTGTTTCCTGTGCTTGGCACACAGTAGGGACTCTAGAAATGCTTGCTGACTGAGTATCTCTGGTCCCTCCAAGATAAGCTTTTGGCAGGCTCTGCAAGTCCCCCGATGCTCCCCCTTCTCCACACCTGCTCACATCCACACGGCTCATCAAGACCCACCGGGGGTCCACAACCCCAGCCCCCCAGCTGTCCTCTTGGCTGGCCCGTGGGATTCTGATGTGTCCTGGGACAGAGCCCTGCAGGCGGGTGGGAGCCTGAGGGAGGAGCCCCCACCAGGACGGGAGGAGGGCTGCTCACCAGGAGCCAGCCCCCAGGAGCTCCCCCTCTGAGCCCTACGCTCCCCTCCACGAGGGAGCAGGCTTAACTCTCCAATCTCACAGGCTCCAACTGTCTGATTCCCGGAACTGGAGCCTAGCCCAGCGGTGGCTCCGGCCCAGGCACCGTCCTGCAGTGAGGTCAGTGGGCCAGACAGCCCTGTACCCAGCCGGCTGGCGAGGTGGCAAACAGCGAAGCCCTTGGCTGTCCCGCAGACCCAGTGGGCGGGTGCTCCTGAGCCCTGCCTGCCCCGCCTCCACTCACCAAGCTTGCCCGGCAGCTGTGATGATGTGGGTATGATTGGGGAACTTTCACCACTCAAAGCCAGAACAGGAAAAGCCAGTTGGGAGGGCTGGGGCCATGGGTGCAGATTGGGGGTGGGGGAGAGGTGTGGCCGCCAGGGGCCATCTTGGAGTGGGTGTCAGGGCACAGCGGGCCTGCCCCCGAGTCTGCTGCGCCCTCACCTCCGCCCATCTCCCCGCAAGTGTGGGGGCAGGCAGGTCCAGTGTCCCGCACACCTCCATTTGTGGCGTCTTCACCAGCGCCCTCCCCTTCAGGCTGTGCGGGCCAGGGGACGGCTGACAGCAGCCAGGCAGGGGGCAGGAGGGCACCACAGGGGCTCGGGACCCAGAGGACGCACCTCGTCCATTAGTGTCCCCAGGCAGCTGTGGGCCTCCCGCCCCCTGCGTGTTTCAGGGCGAGGCCGCGCCCTTCCCTCTGGGGTGGGACGTACAAGGTGCCCATGTGCCCGCTCGCTGAGTGCAAAGCGGGGTCTCCGGGCCCCTGGTCCTTTTGCCCCGTGATGGTGGGCAGGGCACAGGGAGCGGGAGGACCTTCAGGGAGCAGGCAGACTCATTTCGACGTTGCTCTCTGTGCCCCCAGTCACTGCTAGCCAGAAGCTCAGGGAGGGGGGGCATGGGGGTCACTAGGGTGGGGACTCAGTCACGAAACTGGGAGAGACTGGGAAGACCGGCCAGGTCTGACGACCCTCCCTCTCCCCCTCCTGCAACCTCCATGCTTAGGAACCCAGAACCCAAACTTCTGGTTGGGGGCTGCCTGTCTTGTTCCAGAGATGCAGGCTCAGGGAGAATGTCCCCCACCCCCCATTTCTCACATGGGGCAGAGGTTTTCAGAGGTGGGCAGACCCCTGGTGATCCTGACACACAGGGTCAGAATGCTGGTCGATGGGGTAACAGGGCTCACCAGAGAAAAGGGGGAGAAGGGCATATGGGGCAGGAATCCAGAAACAGGTCCCCCTCTGTGCAGAAAGCCACGTGGCAGCCAGGGAGAAGGGGTGCAAATCGAGGGAGGCCCCTTGGAGATGGTGATGCGGACCAGCATGACCATCACCACCGCGCCTCCCCACGGTGGTCCACGCCTCCCGCCAGCCGCTCTGGCTGATGCTTGTGTCCCACCGGCATTGCCAAAGCTCCCCCACCTCCGTTCAGTCACCTTCCTTTCAGGCTGTGCGGTGGGGCGGCGAAGAGCCACACAGCCTGGGTTTGCTTCTCCCTCTGCCATGCCAAGCTGGGAAACTTTGGGCAAACGATTTCACCTCTCTGCGCCTCCGTTTGCACTGAGGCTGCTCATCTGTTACATGGGGATCATAATACATACCCCACAAAATGGTAAGGGTTACGTGAGTGAACACATGTGAAACTCAGAGAAGCAGCACTAAGCAGAAATTGAATGCTCAATATGTGTTAGTTGCTGTCATCACCATCATCATCACCATTATCCCACCATCATCATCACCATCATCACCATCACCATCACCACTGTCATCATCACCACCATCATCACCATCATCATCCATCACCATTATCACCATCACCATCATCATCCATCACCATGATCACCATGATCACCATCACCACCATCATCATCATCACCACCATCATCACCATCACCATCATCATCCATCACCATTATCATCACCATCATCATCCATCACCATTATCACCACCATCATCACCATCACCATCATCATCACCATCATCATCCATCACCATTATCACCACCATCATCACCATCACCATCATCATCACCATCATCATCCATCACCACCATCATCACCATCACCATCATCATCACCATCATCATCCATCACCATTATCACCATCACCATCATCATCCATCACCATTATCACCACCATCACCATCAACCACAAACACCATGATCATCATCACCATCACCATCATCATCATCACTGTCATCATCACCACCATCACCACCATCATCACCATCACCATCATCATCACCATCATCATCCATCACCATCATCACCACCATCATCACCATCACCATCATCATCCATCACCATTATCATCACCATCATCATCCATCACCATTATCACCACCATCATCACCATCACCATCATCATCACCATCATCATCATCATCACCATCATCACCACCATCATCATCCATCACCATTATCACCATCATCACCATCAACCACAAACACCATCATCATCATCACCCATCACCACTGTCATCATCACCACCATCATTATTGTCACTGCCATCATCATCGTCGTCATAATCATCTCTCCTCTATGAAGCAGTAGGCTTCCCTTCCTGAAACGTCATTCAACAAATATTTATTGAGCACCTACCCAGTACTAGGCACTGTCCTGGGTGCTCCTAGGACCCCATTCCAGGAAGTCCTCCCGGATTCACACCCCTTCCTACTTAGCTGACATCTGTATTTATACTCCAACCACATATACAATGAATCTGTACCCTGTTATTTTCTGTGTCCTGGCAGGTGTGTGTAGTGTGTTTCCTGTTGTGTTACCCTCTGTCTCCCAACAGACTACAAGCCCCTGGAAGGGAGGGGAGGAGTGGACTTGGCCTTGGGTTGCGTTGGTCATCACAGCGGACTCTGGCAGGATCCAGAGAGTAGAGAGGACCCTGCTGACTCTCCCTGGTTCCCCCGGCAGCCGGAGCTGGTCCACAGAAGGTACCGTCTCTGCTTGTCCAAAGGCTCCCTCTTACCCTGAGAAGCAGAGGATGCCCCAGCATGGGACTGAAACGGCAGCCTGTCGGAGCCCGGTGGCCCAGGTGCCCATCATCTTATGGAGACAAGGGTCCAGAG